AAACAAATATAGCGCAGCTCCTGCTACGACACGGTTGCTGGAGGTGCTGGATGCCCACTACAGATGGAGTTACACAAACAGGGAAACAACACACTCAACCGCTGATCTGTGCTGCTCACTTGGGATGGAGTCGGGGGAGGAGGGGGAAGGGGGGAAAGAAAAAAGGAAAACAAGCAGCTGGGTTCTCCCCCTCCTGGTCACTGTCTCGTGACCTTTGGCTGCCAAGTGCGTCATGGAGTTTGGATGACAACAGCGTCAAGCTTATCTGTGACGACATTCAACAACAACAACAGTAAATGACATCCGTTTAGCGCCTTTCACGTCAGGAGGACGTCCCAAGGCGCTGGACAGTCAGGGATTTGGACCCGAGCTGGGGGTTGGGATCAGGAGGGGGTGGAGGGCAGAGAGGGTAGGGGTAGGATTCACAGCCAAATAGCCCACCTGACTCTACACTCCAACAACCTAAGGCCCCATATGAAGTAGATAAGGTACCCGAAAGCAATCTACAACCATTCTACTATTCATAAGCATGATCAATATCTTAAGGAGAGAAAATTGGAAGGGAGAAAAGATTAAGCACTACGCATAACAAACTTATCACCAGAAGTCATTTGAATGCGAAAGTTTCCTGATTGTATTATTATTATTTTTTTAAAAACGTGTGCGCTGTTAAAAAAAAAAGCAGACTATAGAAATCACATCGGCTGTGTTTACACAATGCTGGGATGGCCATTCTTACCGTTCAAAGCCAAAACATTTCAAACTCAGCCTCAAAGAACCTTTCAATTTTCCCACCGGCCAAATTATATGTTGAGTTGCACTCTAATGGCTGTGTATTACAGGCCATGTATTTCCGAAATGACACAGGATTTCTGTTCTTTTATTGAGATTGAGGTGAAGACCGAACTTCTGCAGTTCAGGATGCCTCGAGGTTGAAGGAGAGGAAAGAGAAAACAAGACAAAAATGATGGTCGGGTAATTTGGGTTTTTAAAGGCTTTGGAAATTATAGGAAGAAACGATTTGGAGACTCTGAGAAAGAACAAAAGAGCACGAGATAGTGAGGTGGGTTTTGATTTCAACACAGCGGGGTGGCCGGAAGAAAAGAGCGTGTAGGAGAGTGCGTTTAGAGCTTGGAAAGAACAAACGAGGAAATATGAGCTTTGCTCACACGAACTAGATTACAATACTACTTGCGTTGGACATAGGGCCTTGTCGCATCGTCTAAAAGTCTCAAAGTGCTTCAGCTGTGTAGTTGTAGGCAAGCAGACCAACCAACTTGCCCACAAACAGCCAAGAGAGGAGTGACCAATTTTATCTGGAGGATTATTTGGCAGCACACCCCTCTCTCTTTGTACAGTGCCATGGTTGTTAACCTCGGTTTAATGTCTTATCCAAAGGAGGACACCTCCAGGACTGCAATTGAGCGTCAGGCTATGAGTTCAAGGTCCCAACTTGGGGCTTGAACCCACGAATTTCTGATGGATAGTTCAAACACGTGCCCGACTGAGCCGTGCATTAGTCGAAGGTGCGTTTGGACTGCTGGAGAGCTTACAGCAGACATCATCTCTCAATCGCCCTACCTAATAAAACCACCAAGGAGGTCACGGTCTTTCGCAAGTTTTGCTTTTTCGAAGCGTCATTAAACTTTACAAGGATAAAAGTCGTAATATCCACTTCCGTACAAACAGATCGGGTTCACAGAGAGGCCGAGAAATCTCCTGTGGTCAAATTCTGGCCACACAGTGCACATTATCCATAAAGATTACAGCAGCCTCCAGAATACGATCTCTGACTGACCACCATCCCCCACCATCTCTGGCATCCATTCCTTGCAGCATCTGGGGACCCCTTTCAGTTAAGTTCTGGGACTCCCAGCTGAGCATCAGCATCAGCTGGAGGAACACTGCCTGGCAAGAGGTGAACGCATAGACAGCAGCTCACCGTAAACCAGGGGCCTCAAGGCTTCAGAAAATATTGGACAAAGCAGGTAATCCCTCTGCACTCAAGCTGGGGCTCAAATACCCCATTAGTTATAATTCACAGCATCAACCCTCCATTTTCACAAGTCACAAACCCATCGATTCCCTCCCTTTCAGGAACCCGCAGCTCAGCTTCGAGGGGTAAATGATTAACACGATTAATTTTTTTTCAAAAAAATGATTTGGTCGCTTGTTTGCGGGGACGGACGCTGCCGTGCGCGATTGGCTGCTGCGTTTCGCCCACAAAACATACGGTCGATTCACTTTGCACTACATTCTGTGAAGCGCTTTGAGATACCTCGAAGACGTGATGAGGGGCTGTATCCAATCCAAGGATTATTATTATTATTGTTATTAGTATTATTATTATTATATTAGCCGTGATCATAGTTTAGAGTTTAGATCATGTTTGTATTATTATAAAGGGGTTGAGGTGGATCTGTGGCAAACACGGGAAGCGGCTAAATGGAGGGAAGGCTCTGGCCTACACGTACAGAGTCAGCTTCACAGAGGTGGGTGCGTCTATTTGCCAAGGTCACGCATGTGAGGACCTATATTGAGCAGCTGGTGCTGAGTAAGTCTGATTCGCAACGTTGGAATTGGACCTCGAGAACTTCAAGGTGGCTGGCACATCACAAGCTGTCTCATGAAGGTCCTCCCACCACATTGAAGGCAGATGTTGAGGAAGCCAGATAGCTGTTGAGGAAATTCTGAGGCTTGGGTGGTAGCTGCTGGAAGGCGTTATCTGGAATCAAGTGACTAACCAGCGACTATCCACCTTGGGGAACAGGAGAGCGAACTGGCTCCAAGGTTTGGCAAAGGACATGTCAGAATCGAGCCCACCCTCTTGTGGTGGACCTCAATAGTCCAGTTTTCTCACACCCTGCCAGGCTGGCTCATCGGCAGGACCTGGCCTAAAGGCTAGGATGGTCAAGCAGCGGAAAAGCTTGCCAGAAAGCGCTCTATGCAGTTTGAAGCTGGTTAGCACCCCCAGCACATGCTCTGGAGTCCGCTAGTCTTGGCTCTTGCCAACCTGCGCCTAATACCTTCCGGTCCAGGGAGAGAATGCGCATTCCATTCCAACAAATATCTCTGGAATTTCCATGTGTCGGTGGAATCCTCAGTTTGGTTTGGATACGGTGAAACACGGTGATGGCTTTTCATACGTAACGGACACTTACTAACGGCACAAGTTACAATAGGAACCACAAGGCACATTATGTGGACATAAAACACGATCGTTTGAACGAAGGTATAGACTGCAAACAGAGATAGAGGAAGAAAAAAAATCTGCAGCCATGTTTAATTATACATTAAAGCCACTTCGCAAACCACACAGATCATAAAACAGTGACCTGATCAGTGCTGAAAAATCTGGTAATGGGTCTGAATATTCTTCTCACAAACCACTGGATTGACTTTCCTCAGTGTGGAGTGGTGGAGGGAGGGGTCGTGGTGGGGGGGGGAAGGGAGTGGGAGTGGAGGTTTAATGAAATATATACCAACTTCCTGAAATCCATAATTCAGGAATTGTTAAAAGTCCTGACTGGAAGACAGATGCATATCAGGCTCCCGAGCACAATGGCTGTGTGTGTGTGCGCGTGTGTGTATATGCGAGTGTGTGGATGAGAGGTTGAGCTACAACTGTAGTAAAACACACCCAAGGTATAGTTTAATCCCCCCCTATCCCCCCCTATACCCCCCCCACCAGATCCTACACTGTGTTCCTCTGGACAGTGCATTAACCACAAGAAAGCGTTGCAATTTCTCATTAATAATAACAAATGCAATTAATAATAATCAATATAATTAACAATAATTCAACGGAAAAGTCACTCAAGACGTTGGGGACCGATTGCAAAAGCGACTGAACTTCTAAGTTCCCACCCACAATAACACAAGAGTTTGTTTCCGAAGCAGGAACTTCGAACCCCTAAACACCCACTGTTCACAGCATAACTTTATTGGTAGAAAATATACTGTTTTGAAACGGGTCAGATCATAGATGATTCCCACCCCTCTGATTTTTTTTTTGAATGAACAACTCTTAATACTATTTGGATGCCATCCACAAACCAAAATGATAAATTTGAGAGCTGTACTTTTAAAAAGAATTGCTCTCCAGAAAGGGATCCATCCATTTTGTGTTAAGAAAAAGATAAACTTCAAGCGGTGAGAAATAATAATAATAATAATCCTTGCATTTGATATTGCGCCTTTTCAAGTAGTTGAGTCGTCTCAAAAGAGCTTCAGAGAATAGACTGTGAAGCAAAGTCTGATCCGGGACATTATATATCTGTACATGTTTTGGTGGGTGTTGGGGTGGGGGAAGGAGAGAGGGGGTATGCAGAGATTCACACAAAAACTAAACAGATTAAATAATAAACTGTGTCGTCTCGAGGATTCTACTTTCCGAAAATATACAGTCAATTTCATTCACTTCACAGTGCATCCTGTGAAGCACTTGGAGACGTGATAAGGCGCTGTATCAAATCCTGAGGATTATTACTATTACTACTATTATTACCAGTGAGGCCTTTTTTAATGTGCAAAAGAAAGCGACATCCATCACAACTGCCTGAAATATGACAGGGGACATTCACTGTCTTCCATCAGCACAAATCATCGCAGGGCTCAGCTGGGCTCCTTATCCCTGCAGTTGGCTCTGTACACTGCAATGCAGTCCTGCACACACACACACACACACACACACATACCCTCCCCCAAAAAAATACACACATAACACACAACGACAACCGTGTCCCATCTCTCTCCAAGCAATGGCTTGCAAACTCCGCATCCACTCAGAGAGAGAGAGAGTGTGTGTGTGAGAGAGAGAGAGAGAGAGAGAAAGAGAGGGGTGGTGTTGGTGGGGGTGGAATAATACAATTAATAAAGCAAAATGAACACAGAATATACACCCAGCAACCACCCACCCCCCTAAAAAAACACACGCACACACACACACACACAAACCCTGACAGAAATCTTAACTCACTGAAACTGGAGATTCAACTAACCTTTGACTTGAGTTTCATATTCTGTTGTGATCTCTTTGTCCTTTTTGAATTTCGCTTGAGATGACATTCTGATCATGAGTAGGTTGGGTTGGGTTGGGTTGGACTGGAGGTAGGAAGGTAGGTAGGTAAGGTAGATAGAGGCAGGTGGGTAGACAGTAGGTGGGTTGATAGTAGCAAAGACTTTTCCTTGGATTGAAAGAATCACGTCTTATTTCTCTCTCTTTCCTTTTTTTCTCTCTCTCTCTTTTTTTCTCTTCCTCCTTCTGTCTGTGTCTGTCTGTCTCACTCTCTCTTCTCTTTCTCTCTGGCTCTACGCCAAAGATCTGGGGGTTGATGAAGGTATCTGTGAATGGTCTTGGTGGTGCGAGCCACACTTTGACACACAACACAACACAACACAACGCAGACCCACACACACCCACACCCACACACACACACACACACAAGTCTTGTCTTGTCAAGTTCCCACGGTGCGATCGATCAGATCTTTCCTCCTTACGTTGCTCTCTCTTTTTTTAATTGCCTGTGTACGAGAAGGGTGTGGGGGGTTTTTTTTTGGGTGGGGGGAAAAAAAAGGGAGCAAGGAAAACACATACACTCGGTTTCCAGTACAGCGTTACGCCCCTTTTTTTTTTAAACGCGCAATTCCCTTCAACTCCCCTTCGCACTTTAACGCGTCAAACCGCGATCTCCCCCTTTTCGCACAGACACACACACACACACACACACCCCACACACAACACACACACACACACACACCCCACACACAACACACACACACACACGCACCCCCCCCACCCCACGCGCGCGCAACAGACTGTGACGAGACAACAAGAAACGTTAACCGCAGAAAAAATAAAGCCACCTCCGGCTCAGATCTGGATGCAAAGCTTCAGGACAAAGCTCTCTCTTTCTCTCCTTTCTTTCTCTCCTTTCTTCCTTTCTTTCTTTCTGTCTATCTCTCCTTTCTCGCTCTCTCTCCCTCTCTCTCTGTCTATCTCTATCTGTGCTTCCCACTGATTTCTCTCAAGTAATGGTGCATTCCGAACAGTCCCACATTCTGCACCTCTCTGGAGGTCAATGCAAGAGGTCCAGAGGCTACACCGCCGCCGCCACCACCACAACAACAACAACAGCAGCAGCAAAACAAGCAAGGAAGTGCATCTGTCTTAGAAACAGCTGGATTGCATTTGAGAGAGAGAGAGAAAGAGAGAAAAAAAAGAAGGGGCTCAAAAAAAATGTCTGTATCCGGAATGTTTCTGGGTTGTGGTTTTTACTGCAGGGAGAGAGAGAGAGAGAGAGAGAGGAAAGAAGGGAGAGGGAAGGAGAGCGAGAGAGAGAGAGAGAGAGAGAAAAAGACCAGCTCCTCCTCCTCCTCCAACCGGCTGCAAAGATGTGGGGAATATTGGATCCTGCAGGACATGGACTGAATTACATGGGGGGAAAAGAAAATTCACTTTCATCTCGCAATGTGCATTGCGAAGGAGAATCCTCCTTTGCGCTCAAGTAACGCGCTTGTGCTTCGCACACCCACCCACACCCACACACACACACAAGCCCCCCCACACAACCACACGCGCGTGCACACACCCACCCCCACCCCCCCCCCCCCAACCCCCTCGCACACGATCTACACTCAATTTACTTTCCGGTGACTCGCTTTCCTCTCTCCATAGATGCTGCCTGACCTGCCGAGCGTTCCCAGCCACTTCTGGTTTAAACTCCACCCTGCAGTATATTCTGCGAAGTGCTTTGAGACGTCGCGAGCCCGCGATACGGCTCTGTATCAAACGCAAGGTTTATTATTAATAATATCATTATTATTATTATTATTATTTCCTCTCTGCTCCAGCTGAAGCTGGAGATTCACTCATGGATATGATTTCCGCAGTCAAACACCCACCCACCCTCCGGCTACTCACCCCCAGAGGCTATTCTTCCTGTGTGAGCCCGGACAAGGAGAGCCAACAGACTGCTAACCCAACCCCCTCGAGTCTCATCCTGTCCTCATAGACATTTTCTGGCAAGGGTCACCGACTAGCAATCAGAATCTGGAACCACGGCTGATTTTCTTTCTCTCTCTCTCTCCCAAGCCCGGGGGCACTGACACCACCTTTTCGTCGGCCCCAGATGGGGTCAAGCTGAAACGAGCGCACACCAGAGCTCGGAGCTGGGAACCAGCTCGGTCTAATGAGCCTCAGTTCTACCTCACTCGACAATGTCCTCACCAACTGAGCTGTCAGCAGATCTGTTCCAATACTGTTAGTTGCCTTCGTTTATCTCAAGCTGTGGAAAAATAGGTCACGAGCAATAATAATTTAATAATAAATTAATAATAATTAATAATCCTTATATTTGACGAGGCACTTGTTTTAGTTGAAATGTCTTGAAGCATGTCAAGGAGTTTTTCTGCAAAGCGTAGTGACTGTGTACTTGTTGGCAAACTGAAAGTCAGTCGGCACATGGCAATGTCCCGCAAACAGCCAGGAAGTGAAGGAACAATGTTATCCGCGAGATTATCGGCCAGATAACCGGCAGAAAACCCTCTTCTCTTTCCAGATAGTGTCGTGGAGGTTTTAACTGAATAAGTGGATGGGACCTCGGTTTGATATCTCAGCTGAAAGACGACACATTTGACAATGCGCCGTGCCCTAGCGCTGCTTTTGAGCGGCAGCCTAGACTATCTGTTTAAAGTCCTGACACGGTGCTTGAACCCGCAATCTCCTTACTCAGAAGTGAGTTAATACCACTGAGAGTTAATACTAATACAACTGTATTACTACTGTACTCGATCTTGAATTTGGCAGGAAATTCATGTCACTGCAGTATTAAGGGCCAAATACAGGAACACTGACGGCAAGCCGGGAGAATTACTTACACGTGAAGTCTTTCCCTGGCTTCTAATTACTTTTTTTTCACAATGCTCTGTGCATTCAGCTCATCCTGTATTACTGTGAGAATGCGCCCAATCCCCGGTAACTCAATAAAAAGAAGAATCGGCCATAGAATTATCTTTTTTTGAATCCCACATATCACTTTTGGCTCTTGGCTAACAAAAGGCATCTATTACCATGTGGCAATGCAATCAATATTCAGCTTTGAACATCGCAGGCTGTTCAGACATTTCTGAGAATCCTACATTTTAGCACTGCAAGATACAACAAAACACTAGACACAGCTTTTCTTAGTGATAAGCATGTGCTAGATAATGCAGAATTGGGAATTTAGCTATCAAGGCGTGTTTACACAAGGGCAGTAAAAGCACGGAGAGGCAATCTGACCGTTCAATTGCAACTTTGTCTGCTCCAGAGGAGAGATGGCCTTCCATTATGCATGAGATCCTCTCCTGGCTCTCTCACTTACTGCAGTAACCCCTTGTGAAAATGTTGCTAGCCAACGTGCAGGTCCGAGTAAACACTTGGGAGTCTCAATCGCAGTATTGTCGCTGGAAGTCGAGGCAGCCTTTGATGAGGATCAAAGTTCAATAGCGTCGCTAACGTTCTTCACAGTCTGAAAAAAATTATCTTTGATCCCCAGAAGAAAAAAAGAAGAAAAAATAATAATGCGGTCACTCAATCCACGGCTGTTTGCGGGGACGGACGCTGCTGTGCGCAATTGGCTGCCGCGTTTCGCCCACAAAATATACAGTCACTCCACTTTACAGTGTATTCTGTGAAGCGCTTTGAGACGTCTCGAAGATGTGATAAGGCGCCGTAGCAAATGCAAGAATTATTATTATTGGAGGTTAATGAAATGTTTCTTTTTAATTCACCGTTCAGCATAACCTGATAACGCACGAGTACATTAAATACACAACATTCATATTCCTTGAGATTTTAACACGCGTGACGTTTCAAAGGTAATTTGGCAGTGTCAATAGATAATCCCCAGAGTGCAAATGATTAATTGTACACTGTTTAGATGGAGCCCTCACAGCAAGGGCTGAAAAGTATTTCCCATCAAAGGCTTAATAATGTGTTTGATAATAATAATAATAATAATAACCCTTGCATTTGATATCGCGCCTTGTCAAGTCAGTTTAGTAGCAGAAAATGCAGAACTGAACTCTCCTTTTGTGGGTCTCAGGCTCGAGAGCCTAATCCAGTTCATGCGTTCCTACGTTCTTATGTTCTATGTCTCGGATCATACGCAGAAAGCACTGCGCTCCACCTCTTACTTTATTGTAGCAAGACACGCACACGCACACGTACACTGCATCTTGCATTCTCTCTGATAATTGCCAGTGCACACACTCATTCTCTCTCTGGTAATCGGGCTCAGCCGGAGCAGACCCGCAGCTGAATTATCCATTGACACACGCTGTCGAGCCTTAAACATGAAGGATACCGTGTGACGTGAAGTGAGCAGGAGGGTGGCGAGTGGCTGTGGAACCGCACCCCTGATGCCGTCAAAGAGAGAGAATAGTTGGAGCCCTTTAGATATTAAGAATAGCTCATTTAATGCACTGGTGGAAGGTGTTGGAGTTTGTTGATAAGCTGTTAAACAGCCGTATTGCAACTATGGCAACTGATTCACCATGGAAACGCTAATGCACATTGGTTTCGCGGCAGTTGAAGCTGCGTTCACGGACCAGACTTAATGTTTGCTTAAAGCAGTTCCTTTAAGACGCTGCAATCCATATACGAGGCACATCTGACACGTAGGCATTAAGGCGTCCGGATGGTGAATGGTGACATTGCTGCTTATCACGAAAGGCTGTTTAGTCAGAAGAGCGGAAAAGTGCATCGGTGAATGTACCCTCACGAGCTCGCGGTCTGCCTAAAGATCCAAAACACCATCTGTCTGCCTCTTTATCAACTCCTTTATAGCTCGCTCTCCGAGGATATAGACACACACACACAGAGGGAGAGAGAGAGAGAGAGAGATATTGGTCTCAGAATCGACCTGTCTAGGCTTCCTCGTTTTTGAACGAACAAATACGAGGGATGCAATCACTTTTTAGATTTCCCTCTGTTGAAACGTCAACAGTCAGGTTCCTCCAGGGAATGTTTTCCCCTCCAACCGCCTTCCCATCGCTCCTGAAGGCGCTGATATGCACAGGCGTACAAATCCACAGCTGCCCCCTCCCCAGTCCCCCGTCCAATTGGCCGTTATCTGTAGATGAGCCTCGGCAGCTGTGCCCAATGTGATCTTCAGACAATGGCTTTCCAACGGGATTAGCCGTACAGTTTTTTTTTTAGTAGGAAAACAGGGCCCCACTTGATTTCTTCTCCCTGGCAACGTCGAAAAGATTGTTCGC